TGGTACGTTAACTGATTGGTCAGATCCTAAAATATCCTTGATACAGTACATTAACTGACTGGTCAGATCCTAAAATATCCTTGATACAGTACATTAACTGATAGGTCAAATCCTAAAATATCCTCGATATGGTACGTTAACTGATTGTCAGATCCTAAAATATCCTCAATATGGTGTGTTAAGTGGTAGGTCAGATACTAAAATATCCTCAATATGGTACATTAACTGATCCCCCACCCACAATGATGTCTCAGCTGTAAGTCTCAAAGTTTATAACGTGGTGGACACAGCACACAAACAAACAAATAATTTCTTATTTATAGCAAGTAAGATACTTAAATTTACGTTTGTACAAGACCTTAATTTTCAACTGTTTATCTTGGAAGGTGATCGACGACATGGTATTTGCTGTGGGCGGGTTTAACGGAGTGACGACAATCTTTCACGTGGAATGTTATGATGAAAAGACCAATGAATGGTACGAAGCCACAGACATGAACATTTTCCGGTCTGCTTTAGCTGCTTGCGTCATATCCGGTCTGCCTAACGTGCACGATTACATCCACAAACATAGGGACCGTCTTATGGAGGAGAAACGGCAGAAACTTCTGGAACTACAACAAAACCAAGTTAATCATGTACTGGAACCGATGAACAACAACTAACGTGAAATTCTGCTTCTACATAAATTAAAATATTCTACAAACTGTACTTAATCTAAATGTCTACTTTCCAAAAAAAAAAACTTTTCTTGGAACTCAACCAATCTTTAAATTCATTTCTACCTACCAGAAAATCAAATGTTAAACTTAAATGTGTAATTTCAAAATTTCTAACCTGTTAAAACTTTGGCCACAAATTCGGTAACAACAAATGCACATTTACGTCTTACCCTAAGCATGAAATGTGTATTAGTTAATACTTGGTTGTATAAAATATATACATATATATATATAATAATAATAATAATAAACACGCAAACAAGAAAGTTATATTTAATTTTTATTCAATGAAACTTCGTTGTTTTGTTTGTTTATTTCTGGGAGACACATTAGTAGGGAGGGCCGAACGATAGACACGCGCGCTGATTGGATGCATCAGGAGAGGGGTGATGTCATCAAAGAGGAGGAGTCATAGTTCCAATTTTTGTCATGGCGAGCAGGCAACGTGCCCTCTGGAATCACAATTTGATACTATGACATCATGGCCGCCTGTCGTAGCGGCCTAGCAACACGCCCTAACGACTCGCGCTCTGACGACAAAAATTGGAACTATGACCTCATTATCTTTGATGACATCACCCCTCTCCCCCTCCCGTGAGGCAGCCAATCAGCGCACGTGTCTATTGTTCAGCCTTTACTACTCATATTAATTTGCATTATGGGAACTAGAAGAAATCATTCCCCCGGTTACAACGCTAACATTCAGGTTTCGATTCCCAGCGGTGGACACAGAAGATTACCCAATGTGACTTTGTTCTAAATAAACAAACAAACAAATAGGACGACAAGGTAAAAACTTTATAATAATAACAAGCTGGCAAAAAACGATTTAGAAGTGATTTATTGTTGGGGCAACATACTACATAACACTGATCTGTCTTCTTCAGATATGTTGAAAGACGTACAGTATGTTCCCCCCAAAATAAATCACTTCATTTTGCTTGTAAATCGTTGTTTGTCAGTTTATTATTATATTAAAATAATGTGTTTCTATATTAAACTAAACCTTTAAATAATGAGCGAGAAAAAAGAACAACAAAAAACGAAGCGCTGACTGGAGTGTGAGATTAGTATTAAACCAAAACCAAAAGACGACTTCTAGCCCTAGATTGGCCCAGCATAGCCAGGTGGTTAGGCCGTTTGACTCGCAATCTGAGGGTCGAAGGTGTTCGAATCCCCGTCCCACCAAACATGCTCGCCCTTTCAGCCGTGGGAGCCTTATAATGTGACGGTCAATCCCATTATTAATTAGTACAAGAGTTTGCGGTAGGTGATGATGACTAACTGCCTTCCCTCTTGTCTTTCACTGCTAAATTAGGGAGGGCTATCTGCCATAGCCCTCGTGTGGCTTTGCGCGAAATTCAAAACAAACCAAACTAGCCCTAGAAAAGTTTATTTAAGTAATTTATGGTCGACATTTCGGCTTTAGCCCTATTGAGGAGCAAAAAAGAACGTTAAATAACATTATCGTGCTATATATGAGGCTTACAAAGAAGGAAGACATCTTGCGAATAAAACAGCTTTATTAGTCAGAAAAATCCTTTCGCGATTAGTACACAAAGCTTACATTTTTTGTTGACCGGAGGTATAAAAAGGCTATATTGACTAAGAATAAAAAACAAGCCAAAATATTTTTTTTGTTATTGTGTCAGATCTAATAATTTTTAATCCATGATCAACAACATAACCCTTTAGGTTTTAGAACTTCCGCTAGTTTTCTCTTTTCCACTGAAAGTCGCGATTTGGTGGAAAAAAAAAATATGACGTAGAGGATTTTACTATTCTGTGATTCGCTACATCCACTGCAATAGACTAGTTTCACCGAATTCACAGCTCATCGGTGCTACTTAACTCGAATAATTCAGTTCTCTTTATGTCAATACAATCGAGCGATCAGTTGTTTGTTTGTTTTAGAGCAAAGCCGCATTTGGGCTACCTGCTGTGCCTAACGCAGGGAATCGAACCCCGTATTTTAGAAGTTTAAGCCCGTAAACTTACTCCTGAAAAAAAGTGGAATATAACGACCGAATTATTCAGGTAAAAAATAAATAAAGTAGGCCTAATATAGTTGGTGGAATATAAGCATGTAGCAGTCCTTTACTCACCACTAATAGCCTATTGGTGTAATTAGAGGACTATACATTAATACTAAAACAAACTTCTCCCTTTGTTAATAAATTAAGAAACTACTGTTTGTCCAACAATACTTTTAAACATTATTACAATGTATATTGATTCAACTCGGGACGTGGCACGGAAACATTATTTCTGTTTCGTGTTCATTTTTTCTTTATTCAAAGTATTTCAGTTTTATTACCCTACGGACTGAAACGTTGTATTTCTAGTTGCTAAGTCAATTACCGATGTAAATCTGATCACTACATTAAATTATTACAGTTTATTTGGATTATTGAACATAAATGATGCAGGCTCACTACACTTCTTTAATGCCAGTAAAGTTATGAAATCTGTATCAGTTACTTATACAATGTAATTGTAACGTTTGCTTCAAACACTGTTGTTTCAGTGTTAAGACACAAAGATAAGTTGTTGTGAGGAGAGACAATCCATTACACATAAATAAAATATTGTTACGACAGCGGAATTCACGTGACGCTGGCAACACGTAATGAGTATCTAGAAGGTTCGGGGAACATCACGAATAATCCAGTATTTGCTAGACGCCCTCTATTCCTGTATATAAGCGCGCCAGATAAAGCGAGACAATTTAATTGGAACTGGAATAGCAGACAAAGAGACTGGAGATATAGACAGATAATCGAGTCAAGCCGTAAGTAAAGTGTGTAAATCATTGTGAATTATAGCGTGTGTTAAGTTAAAGTGACTGTGTAAATTAAGTGTATTGCAAAGTTGTATTGAGAAAGAATAAACTAGTTTTATTTAAGAAAAGACTTGTATCGCTGAAGTTCTTCGGAAAGAATTTCTACGGGAAATTATCAAACGAACACAGATGTAACAATACGATAGTTACCTGATGACGGCCACACGAGTGGTTGAAACGTTGTAATAAAGTTAAACAAAATAAACAATCCAATAAAGAAGCCACGAACAATTTGAAACAATTTAAGAAAATATAATCCCTAGTTTACATAATGTTTATCACAAAATTTAGGCCTACTGGTTTCTAATGCTTCGGCATTACATCTTATTGCCCTCTTTCCGGTGGAACACTGGTAAGTTCACGAGCTTACAGTGCTAAAATTCTGGGTTCAGTTTCCGGCGGTGGACACAACAGATAGCCCAATATTTATTTGCTCTAAAAACAAACAAACAAATACAACCTAACTGTTTATTATAAGACATTAGTACTAGGCCTAAGAGCGGTACACACCATAACAATGAATGTTATTTATTATAATTGTTTTGATATTTTTCAACCTGTTATTGTTTGTGATCTTTAACAGTATCTTCAGATATAAAACCTATTTTGCGGCATTGTTAAAAAAAAACAACTAACGATTAATCAAGTTTAGTCCATATTTAGTGAACCTTCTCTACAGGTTTCCGTAAAAATGAATAAATCACTGTTACGAAAGTTTTAGTATTTATGACATTTTTTTGTTTTTCGTTGTTCAGCTCTAAAACTTCATTAAATTATATGTAATAACCTAAAATGTTAATAAACAAAACGTGCCGAAATAATTAATTAGACGCATATATCGTTGACTTCTTACTCATCACAAAATATCGTTTGGCGTCTGCCAAATAAAAACAAAAATCACTAATCATCGAGAAAAACAAATATTGAAACTAATAGGGAATAATTCCCTCGTAGCTCAGCGATAAGCACAGACAGTCTCTTGTTTAGCTTTGTGTTTAACAACAAACAACCAGAGGGGTAGAAAATGGCAATTATATACATATATATAGTACTCCCCTCCCCCCTCATTAAGTTCAAGCAGCATATAGGGAACACATCTTAAATCGCTACTGATCATGCGCAGTCAAACTGTATTAATGCTGAATATACTGATAAGGTGTTTTATTCATGAAATGTTTACTTTTTTATATTTTTGGCGGACTGTTTTTTTTCTGTCCAAGTTTTTTCCTAGCCTCTTCGTGTTATGTCCCAATATGTCTGTCGCTTCTATCTCTAGTGTTTTTTTTAATTATGTACTTTTTACATTTGATCTATTTTAATTATAGTATTTTGGCACTTGTGTATAAAGTTAATATCATAAATAATATTCAAGGTTAAACTGGTACACAATTAAAAACTTTT